GAAGCATCAGTGGATGCTAGTAATCCCACCAGGCCACCCTGCCTCATCACTGCTTCCTATTAAAACAGCTTCATTGGTTTCAAGCACCCTTCACTGTATATGTTGCTAGTTAAGAGCCTGCTCTCAAGTATCAGCTTCAACTAATGCACGCAGCTGAGGCTTCATGACTCGAAGAGCTGTATACACCCTAGGTTCTGAATGACCCAGCATTAAGGTATTGTTGAGAGTTGTATTAAAACTGCAGAGACAATGTCAAAAAAAAAAAAAAAAAAAAAGCTGGCTTTGCTTTTCATTTACTCCTTCAACACATGCAAACAGAAGAGGAGAGTTGCATGTGTTGTTCAAGCCAACACCTTGAAATTTTCTATTGCCACAGCATTTCAGAACTGGAAGTAGAAACATTATCCATGTGGGTCTAACAATAAAATGTATCCAGTGTTTGGAAATAAGAAAAGGGTGATAACAGGAAATGTCCTATGAGTAATAAGAGTAAGAAAAGGTTGCTGGATATGTCTGCAAAGCAATTGTCTTAGAAACACGCAGTTGGAATTAGAACAAAAGATAACCGTGAGGTTATCTTCCGTTGTGCCTGAAAACAGGCACAAAATTCAATACATTATCAGTAACTTTTTATCATTTTGGCTTTCTTCTTGACTTTCACGTCAAACAGAGGTTCTACAGTCTCCAGAGCAGAGATCTTCCGTAAAACATTTAAGCAGGTGTTACTAGAAGTAACAGAGGGGAGACGGTGTGTAGATCTTGACTGGTTCCAAATAAACCCTGGAAGTTAGTTCTTTATGCAGAAGAGGAGCCAAGCACCCAGCAACTTACCCTCTCTGAATGGGTCAGACAGCAGCTCTCCCCATTTTGTTTCCACAGCTCGCTCACTTTCTGACACGCAGGATGGTGCTCTGGGGAGGAACAGGCCAGCAGCTTTTTGCCTCTGTTTTCAGAGATTTAGGGATTATCAAAGGCAGAAATCCTTTTGACCTTGAACAGTCCTTTCAACCCTTTATTTTGAGTATTTGGTGGACCCCGTACTTCAGCTCTTTCAGAGCTTTCCACCTCTCCCACTGCCCCTTCCAACCCCCAACAAGACCACATACACACAGGTGAAAATATCAGATAACTGCTAGGCACATGCTCTCACTGCAAGCCTCACCCTTCCCACCCACAAAGGAAACATGTTAAAGATTAACTCTTTTGAGGCCGTGGCTCTTCTCATTAAATGTGATTTAAATTCATCAGTGCATAAATGGAAAACGGTAAAGGACAGAAGACAGGGAACGGAGAAAATTCAGAAAACAGCCCTAAGAGCTTCCAAAGAAACTCTGCTACTCTGAAGAGAGGAATGCTGTTCCCCAAAAATACAATTTTCTGGATTCACATTCTGCACTCTCATCCACAGGTTTTCGGAGAAGGAAACACATGCAGGAAAACTGCTTTTGATGACAGCGCTGTGAAATACCACAAGCATTCCTGCCAGTGTACGTTCAAGCTCTGAACTCTGGTTCACCTCAGTTTTAGATGAAAGAGACACTCAGTTGATGTCACCTTGCTTCCACTAAATTCTATTTGAACCACTGATTGAGGAGGAAGCAGAACGTGAGCACTGCTTAAGAACTTACCACTTTCTAGAGCAGTTGGTTTCCTTGTATTTTCCAATAAAACATTTGCAGGGGCACTTACTAAAACAAAGAGCCATTATTTCAGTAATGCAAAAACTATCATTTACTTTCAGCAAATGGATCAAAAGAAGCTCTTCTGTAAACAAAATTCTCATCCCACAGACACAATGGTATGCACAATAACATCACATTTTGCCAAGAGATTCCAGTAGAAAACACAGTAATTCCAAAGAAAGAAAGTGTAAGTTTATTGGACGCCAACATTTCTTAGTCAAGTTCTAAGTAAAGAAAACATACAGTAGAAAAAGTTGTACAAAGCAGCAATGGATTTACATTGCATTAAAGAAAAAGTTACCCTAAGCTATTAAGTCTCTGTCCTAAAAAAGTAAAAACCCATTCTTAATTACAATCCAATACTGGTGTATCGAATTGATATACAACAACTGTAAGGTATACAGGATTAAAAAAACAGCTTCTTTTGCCTTACCTCTATAACACTTTAAAACGACAAGTGATTTTGTGTGTAACGAATTGGAAAATTCCATAGCAAATATATTGGATAATTCCAACTTCTAGAAACTGCATCGAACTATCTCCCCACACCCAAATACTACAAGTGATTCCATTTTCCTGCTTTTTAAAAAGGGACACTGTCAAGAATAAGCTTTACAATGTATACTTTGTATGTATTCTGCAAAAAGATGGTTTTTTTCCTGCTTTTACACACATGCTTTAATTAAACGCGCTGCAGTAGCGAGAAGCGTGCATCTGGAAAAGGTACCACGTATCACTGAAAGGAACAACAAAGGAAAAATAGATCAAGTCCTTTATTCTGGGTTAGAGAAAAAACAACATGAAAGTGAGCTCCACCCACAGAATTCAGATCTACTTTTCTGGCACCTTTGCAACAATTTAGGAAAATGCCCATAATAGGTATCTTCCTGCCTAACAAGCTCAAGTGTTAGCTTTGAATTTATTCATATCAAGTATTTTTAATATATTTATAGTATACACCCTTTCTCTTGATAGTGTCCCTTTATGTACAACAGTTATAGTACAGTTTTTCACAAGTTGTTTTAAATAAACAAGAATCAATGACATTAAAAATACTATCAGGCTGCGTTTAACCAAAATAAAATAAAATAAAATAAAAATAAAAAAATTAACACTGCTTAATCAACAGCAACATTGAAAAAATCCTAACCTGACTGTGATTTTTATCTAAATCTTCTGCTAGGAAAATGTAAACAATTTTATTGAACAGTACAGGCACACGCCAGACTACAGGCTCATGCCAGATATTTGCACCCTCACTGTTAGTGCCAAGAAGTTTGACATAAATCTGTCCTTATCCCATGTGTGGAACTTCTAGTTTTATCACTTGAAGTTTGGAACAAAAACAGAGTACATGTAACTTCAGACCAAACCTGCACATATTATTTGGGGGAAAAAGGTAGCAAAATAAAAACAAAATGTATTCTACTGGATGCCACCAGAATGCTTGCTTAAATAGGAAATGCAGGAAGAAATCTCACAGCTGTGTGCTTTGGTTCACGGATAAGGCTACACCTCCACTCTGAAAGATGTGAGAAAAAGTCTAGTGTCACCTTCAGTAGGTTATCTTCTCAGCTGTCAGGATGTTTCTATTCTCCTTATGCAAAATAAAATATAATAAAATACAAGAAGTATCATAGCATCATATAATGTTTAGAGTTGGAAGAGACTATGAAGACCTGGTTCCAATCCCCCTGCTGTGGTCAGGGACACTTCCCATTAGACCAGGTTGTCCAAAACCCCATCCAACCAGAACAGTGCCAGGGATGGGGCATCCACAGCTTCTCTGGGCAGCCTGTGCCAGTGCCTCACTGCCCTCTGAGTAAGAATTTTTTCTTAAATCTAATCTAAATCAATCATCTTTTAGTTTAAAGTTCCTTCCCCTTGTCCTATCACTATGTTGCCTCATAAACAATCCCTCTCCAGCTTTCTTGTAGGTCCCCTTTAAATAGTGGAAGGCTGCAATGAAGTTTCCCTGGAGCCTTCTCCAGATGGAACAAGCCCACCACCTTCAGCCTCCCTTCACAGGAGAGGCACTCCAGCCCTCTAGTCATCCACGTAGCCTCCCCTGGATCTGCTCCAACAGTTCCATGTATCTTTTGTTCTGGGGCTCCCAGAGCTGAATGCAGTACTGCAAGTGGGACCTCAAAAGGACAGAGCAGAGGGAGACAATCTCCTCCTTTGCCCTGCTGGTCAGCCATCTTGTGATGAAGCCCAAGATGCAGTTGGCCTTCTGAGCTGTAAGTGCCCACTGCTGGCTCGTGTCCAGCTTTTCATCTACTAGAACCCTTAAGTCCTTCTTCTCAGTGCTGTTCTCAATTCAGTCATCACTCAGTCTATGCTGAAATTGAAAACTGCCTTGACTCAAATGCAGGACCTTGCTCTTGGCTTGATGAACTTTACGAGAGGGCCTACTCCTCAAACCTATCAAGGATCCCTCTTAAATTATCAATCAAATAATCTGAGCAGCTTCTCATCATACACAAACTTGCAGAGGGTGCACTCAACCCCACTATCCCTGTGAAATCCCACTACCCATGAAGATACTATATAGTATTGGTCCCAGTATGGACCCTCAGGGGACACCACTTGTTTCTGGCTTACACTTGGACAATGAGCTGTTGTCTGTAACTCTTTGCACATGGCCATCCAGGCATTCCTTTATCCATCAGTCAAACGCCCAAAATATATACCTCTTCACTTTAGTGGCAAGAATGTTGTGGGGGACCATATCAAAAGGTCTTACAGCAGTTCAGGTAGATTATTACTGGTTGATGTCCTTCAATTTTGTAAGGCTGCAGAATTATATTTTAGGTGTACATGCCATTTTTATGCAGAGAAAAACTCATTTTAACTTTTCATTCTAGAACTAAAAGATAAACCCATACGTCATTTCTCACTTTCAGTGGGTGACCATGGTCCCAATGTATCAAAAAACCTAAGCATGTTTTTTAAAAAAAAAATGTTAAGACTGATTTCATTGGAACTTAATAACATGCTGAGACCTTTGCCAACACAGTGCCTCAAAGGAAAATAAGTCCCAAACCAAAACACATTTTATGGCTCAACCCTGCTTCTCTTAAATGCAACAGAAGTTTTCACTGCACTTCCACTGAAGCAGTATAGATCTCTGAGATTTATCTGACAAATTAAAAAAGGAAAGTAGTAAAAATTCTAATCTATATATATTAAAACATCTGCACATTCCTGTCACAAGTTTAAAGGAAAAAAACCCTTTCTGTATTTAGCAAGAGCTCTATATAAGCATCACTTCAGCACACAATTACAAAATTAAAATATGATGAGGACAGGTTTTTGTATCAATAAATTTGCGTTTTATTTTGGCTGTGGCCAAGCTAGACACTCTTCAGAAGATATTTATAAACAAACAACTAACATTTTTTTCCATAATTTAACTTTTTAAACATATATTAAAGTTATATAAGTGGAAGCATATTTATTCCGTATCCTCCAAAATAAACACTTCTATCAAGGGTTTTTTTTTTAAAGGTACTGTATAAAAGCTAATAGAAAACCAGAACTACTATATAAACATCTCATATTTAAACTTCAGATATCCTTAATTCCTTATGAAGCAGGAACTGAATGTAAAAAACTGAACTAAACACGGAACACGCTTATAGTTAAAAAGAGACTTAAGAAAATCTGAAGAAACGCTTAGGAAGAAGCTATTTAGACCCAACTTTTTTTTTTTTTTCTTTTTAAATATAATACATAGCGTGCTAGGAAGAAGGTCATTTCTTCAAAGATATTGTATGAGCTTTTCATTTTAAGCGTGGGGTTTTTTTAATCATCACACCATGTATCAGATTCCCAGTTGGAAGTTCAATGACTGTAACATAGTTGACTAGTTGCCATTTTCTTTTAGAAAGCACCCTGATTTTTGAAAGGCTGGATATGAACTACTATGCTGTTGGGAAGAGGAATAACTGGTGAAAACTTAGGTATGAGTTTACGAGAACATCTTCATATTTTCTATGCACACATTTCTTAAGTACATTTAAAGCATACTGAGGAAGTCTATACGTTTTTCTCATTTTGTTAAATCGGGTTACTTAAGAGCTGTATGCATTTCACTTTTCTTGTAAGAAATAAATTTAGTCTTATCAGGGTTTTTAAGAACTTAACTGATAGTGACAGGTTAACATGACTAAGTTGTGATCAAGTTTGCCTGGAAGAGAACAAAAAGAATGTTTAGCAACAATTTTATATTGCCATCAAAAAAATGAACTGAGAGGCTTGAAAATAACACTGCTTTTTTTTTTTTGGTAGCTAAAAAAAGGAAGCCGGTGGTCCATACGGAGCCTATATTTTTAAACTTAATTGAAGGAAAAACACTAAAAAATTCTGTTGGGAGAAAACTAACAGTGGCACACTTGGACTTCAATTGAGAAAAATCTTTTCTGGTGTGTGCCTAAATGAGGGTGCTCGTCCTCAGATCCTAAAGTTACACAGGTGCTTTATTTTTGCTAAATGCTGGTACTAGCAAGCAATACTTTCTAACTTTGAGTGTAGGATGCTGAAAAAAAAAAAGCACTATTAGAGTCATATAGCATGAAAGCCTCACTCCTATTCCCACTGAAACTGGTGACCAAACTCTTGCTCTTCTCAGTGAGCAAAGACTGGGCTCTGACTAGATAAGTGTGGATTGCAACCCCAGTCCCTCAACTTCCAGAGTAAAGTTAGTCAGAATCATAAATACCATTTGCATCACTGATGTTCTCACTGTTCATTGCACTACTCCATGAAGTTTAAATTCCAGTAGAACAATTTTTCACTTAATTTACCACAACTTTTGGGTAAACATTTCCTTGAACAAAGTAATTTTGGACCCTTGCTGTAGTTTCTGGTAAATACCTATGATTCGACTTTTACTAAATGCTCCAGTTGTGACTTGTGGTAAAATAATGGAACTGCACAAAGTATCTGCAGCACATTATTCTCATGATTTTCAGCAGATAAGAAAACTGCTACACAGTACCACAAAGGATAGGAAGCAGCAGAAAGAAATATTCTAAGCGTTGTATTCATAAAATACAGTGATAGCAATGTGATGGTTTTCCCTCTGCTTTGAGCTGGATATGCACGCTTAATACAAATTTCAAATACATACTTCTTCATTTATACAGATGTCTATATAAATATTTACATTTTTACTTTATGTTAAAACTTATCTTTGTACTCATGGCCAAGCTTATCACTGAGTGTAGGAACACAAGTCATCTTCTATCCCTTACCAAGCTTTTTTTTGCTTCTTAATAGTTCTACATTTCTTTGCAGTTAGAATTACAAACAGTTGTACAAACAGAGGAAACAAAATTAGTTATCCGACATCCATCCAATCTTAGTTCGTATTACAAACAGTAACATTTGCATTATGATGGCTGTCCATACAATGACTTTAGTTACTGAAATGTTCATAGTAAATTAGTCTTTGGGACGTTATATAAAGCGATGTACCCCCACCCCCCACTTCTCCTTAGAAACTTATAATTAAATGGCTGAAAGCAGGCTTGCTGCTATTTTGTTTTCTTAATATAAAATCTTATTAATAATATTGCTGATTTTAAATTCTACTTTAATTTGCACAAGTTCCATATAACAACAAAACAATTTTATGTTCCCTTAAAATATCAAACATTCGTATCCAATAATATCGGGATTACTGAAACGTGAGGTTTATTCGTTATTGCTAAAGATCTCTAAGACCTAAGTCAATACATTAAGACACTCCATCCACTTCCTCTCTAACTGCAAGTGCATGGCAGCTATTTATATGGAGCTTCTGTGTTGGTTTCTTTAAGAAAAAAAACAAAAAAACAACAAACAATGAAGTTGGTTACAGTATTTCACCACTATAAACTCACAGTTAGAATCCAAATTTTTGTTGCTCTTCCATTTAATATATAACTCTATATATAATACACACGCACACACCAACATCACAGGATGAAGATCCATGCATACAATCCAGATGCGATCGCATTTCAGTGTTAAATGAAATCAAAATTATTCTGTTACTATTAGATCCCAGTCCATATTATCTTTAATTACCCAGCTTTCTAGCTACTAACAAAGTTAGTTTACCTTAATCTGCAAATGCAAGCAGCATCACAAATTCAGAATCTTCTGTCGTCGTTGTTGTTTTAATCCTCTTAAATTTCAAGTTTACGTGGCATACATCCGAGATCCTGAAAACAGCCTCCACCAAATCAGCTTTTTAAGGTATCTCTGAAAGCTAATTGTGTGTCTGCTCATGGCTCCAAAGACTAAAAGCTGTCTTGAAAGTCCTGTGACAGAGTTTACACATGTACTGCCTTTTGAATGTGATTGCTGAGAGTGGTGGAGCATGATAGAAGAGCGTATCTGACTCCTGCGGCACAAACAATTTTTCAGTAGTAGTGGAGCTTTCAGACAAGCCTGTTGGACTATCAGGCTCCAAAGGCTGGATTTTGGGTAGTGGCGGGGGCGGAGGTAAAGGTGGTGGTGATGGGGAATTAGCTGGTGGACATACCTCAGGCTCCTTATTTGTGGACTCCTCTGCAGCCTGCGACATGTGGGACTGGAAGTGACTCCAGAGCCGGAAATTGGTTCGGAAGGCCTTGTTGCACACGTGACAAATAAACGGCTTCACGGAGCATAAGAGCTCTTGGTGACGCTCCAATTGTTTGCGTACAGTGAAAATCTTCCCACACTTTTCACAGGGCCACAAACCAGCATCTTTGTTGGAGACTACTTCCTTTGGTTCTCTGCTTGTCTCAGTGACCTCATCCTCTACGTCGTCTGCAGGCTCTTCCTTGATTTGAATTTTAAACTGCTTGGAAACACTTAAGTCTTCAGGCAGGCAAGAGGAATCTTCAGAATCAAAATTAATCTGTTCTGACGAGTCACTGAATACTCCGTCTTCCTTTGCAGCAAAATTGTTTATTTTGTTGGATTCTGACTGAGGAGGCAATCTTAATGAACTAGTTATGTCTCCATTGTGATCCAGGATAGGTAAAGAAAAGTTCTCTGATGGAGCCATCGTGTTCTGATTGTGAACTTCAACTTGATGACGCCAAATACTAAAGGATGATTTGAAGGTGCGCATACACTCAAGACAAGTAAGCTTCTTGTATTCACACTTGCTTTCGTGCTCATGCTTCAGCTCTGGGGATGAAAATCTAAGGCTGCAGTAAGGACAGACAGTAGCGTTTCTACAGAGTCGCTCATGATTTCCCTGTTCGATAAGTGAAGAGAGCTTAGCATTACAGAGACGGCACTGATAAACTTCCTTGTTTTCTACATGACTTTCAATATGAATATGGTCTTTCTGCTTAGGAACCTTATTTCCTCCAATTGGTTTTTCTCCTGGATGCATTTTTATATGCTGTTTGAACTGTGAGAGGAAACGATAAGCTTTTCCACAGTAGACACAAATATAGGCTCCTTTGGTTCTTGATCTTAAATTCCTTTTGATGACTTGTTGTGCTTGTGAAGTAGATTGTCCCTGAAAGCCTTGCTTGCCACGTCTTAGTTTAACTATTAGAGCTTTTTTAATTTCTCTCTCTCTCACTATATCGATCAGTTTTCTTTGGAATTTTTCATCCAAAACAGCATGAGAACTGGAAGCTGGTGAGGGATTCTTGACAATTCCATGTTGTGTCTGGCAGTGTGTCCACACTTTGAAATTTGTGTGAAATCTCTTGTGGCATATGTCACAAGCATAGGGCTTTTCTGGATTATGATACATGTTAACGTGACGATGAAGACCTGCTGTTGACCTGAAAATTTTAAGGCAGTGTTTGCATTTAAATTTTTTATTTGGTCTTGCTTCTTCCATTTCACTGTATTCATCTTTACTGACATCAGAATCAGCAAAATCAGCATCAAGGTGCGTAGGGCTTGAGCCTTCCTCGAAGTTTTCTTCCGATTCAGGAGAACCCTCTTCATTCACCTTGAGTTTTTTGAATGGTAGCCTTCTATCTGCTTGAAATCTCCTTTTTGCTGGAAGTCTACTTGGTTCCTTTTGATCATCCTCAGTTTTAAAAGGAAAGTCTTTATTTGTAGGTACTGATGTGTCACCCACTGTAACTCTTATTATTTCAGATGGATCTGAAAGTGGACTGCTGGGTTCGGTTTTTATTCGCACCTCTGTGAGAGGGGAAGAAACTTCCCTATCAGTTGTCTGAGAGGCACTGAAAGACCTAAGGCGATGTGGGTGCATTACCTGTGGCTTTTCTTCTAAGACTAACTTCTCCGATGACTCTTTCAAGCATGACTTTTGAGATGCAACATTAAATATCTTCTGGGAATCAGCAGTTCCTGGTGAGGAGGAAGATGATACCTGTGAAGGTTTTAGGTCAACAGAAGGTGAATAAATAGGAACCTGGCTGTCCATAGACAGCGACCTTCGAAGTAGACTTTTTACGAGTGGACCACTTCTGTCAATGCTTTGGCTTTCAGGACCAGATCCACTAGATGGGATTACTAGTCCTAACTTTGAGTAGTACAGCAAATTCCTATCTTCACCTTGACCATTTCCTTTTCCTGCCTCTCGTAACAAAAATGCAGATTCTGATGAGCCACGCAGAGATAAGACTGGCGGACGTGGTCTTTTTAATAACTCTGCAGCCTTTCCTCTTAAAAGCTGACTACTGCTTCCTGGTTCATCACTTGCAATTTCTTTCTCTGCTAAAGGTTTTTGAGGCAACATTGTGTTCCTTTTCACTAAACCCCCTCTGCTCTGATCCTCTGCAGTTCCAGAAGTTTCGTGAAACTTGGTATAGCTCCCAGGGTTTTCCTTCAGCCATCTCCTTTCAGTCAGTGATAAATTGTGAAGGGTTTCAGTTGGTTTTGCTACTTGTGGTCTAATGCTACTTTTGATAGCAGCAGAGGGTAAAGGTTTAGAAGTATGGCTTAAATCATGCTGCATTTGATTTACACTCTTTCCTTGTGCATCGCTTCTGTTCTGACAGACAATGACACTCCTCTTCTGAGAACTACTTTCATCTTCATCTTGATACAGTATCTTCTTAATGGGGCAAGATGGAAAGGGAGCTTGAGGGCTCTTAGAAACAATGTTTGTAAGAAAGGATATTCCAAGGCTGTAGCCCAGCTCTTGCACAGCTGCAAGACTGCCTTTCTCTATGAACAAGGATGAAGAATAAATGTAGTTTAACACATTGTCAAAAGCATCTGGTTCACAAAAGTCGAGTTGAAACACTGACTGAGACTCATTCTCCTTATTTGTGAACAGGGTCTGGAAGTATTCACTGCTGGCAGCTAGAACGTTTTTATGAGCTCGAAATTTCTGATCTCCTACTATAAGCACAACATCACATAGCTGTCCCTTTAGACGCTCCTCGTTCAGTGCGCTTAGAAGTGAAATGGCATGTGCTGGATTTATGTAATGCAAGAGCCCCTCCATTATCCTGATGTTCCTGAAAAAGAACATAGTAAGAATTATTTTCTTATTAACACAATAAGAAAAAAAAAACCTACACTGCTTTATGTAGACAGTTGTTAGAGTTAATGTAAATGAACCTAAACTCTCTGTACTTCATAAACAAGCTAATTGACCATCAATGCTGCTGAAGAAAAGAGTTTGTTTGGAGCAAAGGTATGGGATTTAACATAACATAGTTTCGCTTCAGCAGATGTACAGGCATTAGAAGCAGCTCATGCTGAAGAACATTTTTAAATACTTTCAGTTGATCTTATACTAAAAATATCACATTTAACTGGGAGATGGGGGTGGTATTGTGTTTTCTACCTGCAGTATAGCTGTCGACATGAAGGAATTCCATTTAATGACTTCAGTTGATCATCTTTTTCTCAAGTTTAGCTTTAAAAAGATCTATCTTGGCAATTACTTCAATAAACTTTTGAATTAGCTACTGTTGTGGTTTAGCCCACCATGCAGCTAAGTACCACATAGACACTCGCTTACTCCCCTGCAGTAGGATGGGGGACAACCGAAAAAGGTAAAAATGTGAGAGCTCCTTGGTTAAGATAAAGACAGATAAGGACAGAAGGGGTTGAAAGGGAAAAGAAAAAAAAAAAGAAAGAAAGAAAAAGAAAAGAACTAAAGAAAAGAGAGCGAGTGATGCACAGTGCAATTGCTCACCACCAGCTGACTGACGCCCAGCCAGTTCCCGAGAAGCAGCAGTCCCCCTGGCCAGCTCCCCCAGTTCTGTTGTTCAACGTGACGCCACGTGTTATGGGACGTCCACGTGGGCCAGAGTCAGCTGTCCTGGTTCTGTCCCCTCCCAGCTCCCTGTGCCCCCTCAGCTCCTTGCTGGCTGGGCAGCGCGAGGAGCTGAAATGTCCTTGGCTCTGTGTAAGCACTGCTCAGCAACAACTACAACAACAGTGTGCTATCAACATTATTTTCATCCTAAATCCAAACACAGCACCATACCAGCCACCATGAAGAAAATTAACTCTATCCCAGCCAAAGCAAGGACACACACCTGAAGTTAGTTATACTAAGTCACTTCTTAAGGTTAAGCAACCCTGACAGTCTCCTGCTAACTAAACAAATTAAAAGGTTTTCGTTGTTATTTTTTATAGGGTGGTGAAAAGGGCATTAATACTGGCAGAATTATCACCTATAATCTAGACTAATTCATTATGCCTGCTTATATTTAATGAGTGCTAACATGCATACACTTCTAACTATGAAATATATATTAACTCTTACACCTGCACTAACAGGATTTGGTTTCTTGGAAATTTCATAATTTTAATTGAACTATCCCAGCAGCACTTTGCTTCTGCTAGAAAATAATCAGTTAACTGATTATTCTCCATCTTCTTCATTAGCTTTTATGTGGATTTCACGCCCATAACCTACAGTTACCCCCAGACGCATCCAAAGGTGCAATAAGCACAAACTAAACTGCAGTGCAGAAACCCCCACACTGCTTCAAAACACAGCCTACTCTGTGCTGTAGAATGTCTCCATAACTCAACAGGCTTCTCTTGACTAGCTTTTAACGAGAGAAGACAAACAGGCTTTAAACTAGTTTGAGCAAACAACTTCTGTCAAATAAATTGAATTTTATCTATTGGTGCACACGTACACACACACAAAAATCAAGAATATCCAATTTTATTTTGTTGCCATGGACACTCCTACAATTCTGTTTAAGACAACCTGCAGTACAAATTTTTAACTACCTTCCTCTATGGTGATGAAAAACAAGCAAATGATGTGTCTCTTAAAAGCAATTCTTTTTGCAGCTGATTTAAGAGATTTAAAATATATACATATGATATATGCTACCATAACAAAAAGGTTTCACTGTTCATCAATTCTCAATGAAAGCTGACAATTTTATCAAAATAAAAAATAAGAAGATATAATTTTATCAAAATAAAAAATAAAGAAGCTATAATCCTTTAATTATTAAATGAGAAATCTTGCAACCAATGGGCTTCAATCACAGGAATTGACTGAAGTCTAAGTTGGTAATGCTGAAAAAATGACTTCAAGTATGCTGGATACAGTGTCTCAGGACATTGGTCATATCAAAGGACTGAGCTACCAGTTTTACAGCTGAAATTACCAGATGAGTTCATAGTATCAGGGCAAAAGCAAAATTCTGTTTCTTCCTCAGATCTGCCTCTCAATAGAGTGTTCCAGTGCCTTGCAGCATTATTTCATTAACACTAATTTATCCTTAATTCACCTCAAATAGTTATAAATGCATAATGCCTCCACTACTCTCTCTAAAAAGGTAGAACAATTACGCCTCTATGAATGTGAGAAATCCATCTGTTTTGTTCTATTTTTTATGTTTGACTTAAAAGTACCATCTGGGGTGTGAACTATTTTTTGGACAATTCTGCAGTGTAAAGTGGTGGTGTCCGAATGGCCTTAATCCAGCTGGGAGGTCTGCGCACCCGTTAACACTTGAAATGTTATTAGCAAGTGCTCCAGGAATGCATTTTTCCCTTTAGTTTAATCTTAAAGTTTACACACTCATATGATTTGTCTGTGTTGCAAATTAAATAGTCTACAGAGATAACAAAACAACAATGTATTTCTGAAGGAAACTTGAACTAAAATATAGTAGTAAAAACACCTACTAAAAGTTGCAGCTGAACCCATACCTCAAGGACACGCTGGATAGGAGACGGTCAAATGTTCTGAAGTATTTTCAAACCTTTCATTTTAATCTGCTTTACCCAGGCCTTGAGTTTTCTGTAAGACACCTGAAGAATAAACACCACATTACTATGCGTTCCTTTATTCATCATAACACAGTAATGCTACTTCTACAGGTTGGTGTAAAATTCACACATCTAAAACGGAATCTGACAGCCCCCCAATTTTCTTCCTATATACTCCTTCTTAGTCGTAGGACATCTTGAACATGCTACATTACACAAGACAGAGATAAGCATCCTAGTACAATCCTCCATTTCATTCGCAGAGCACAGCTTCTTCTGCGCACTAGAAGAGGCAGACCTCTTTGGTGCAACTGGCACTTTAACAGTAACCAAGGCTGCAATGTACACAACTGGCAGGGGACCAAATTAATCCTGCAAAGGCAGCTTTAATCCTGGCCTTTCCTACTTCTAGTGCTTGACTTTCAGCTCCATAGCCTTTAAACACAATGGTCAGAAATAAAACAAGTTATGGTATGTTAAAAAACAAATCCAGAACCAAAAAAACAAATGCAGAACCATTTTAACACCTTTACACAGACCATAAGAAAGCCTTTTAAGACAGATTTTAAAAAATGAAACAAAAAACCCACAAGGTTACTTTTACTGTGTAAAAGTACAGTGTATTAAAATTTCACTGCATGAACAGTTGTTGATAACAAAGTTAATCAGAGTTTCTTTCTCCCTTTGGTTCATCCTATCTGCATGCTGCCAGTCACAACTGCAGCTGCGCTAGAACAAATATTTGCAGGTCTGCGTTACAGAACAGGTCAGACAACACATAGAGAACAAATATTTCTTTTCAAATGCTGCTCATTTCTCACAGTCAAGCTCAATCCCAGGAACAATTGCATTGGCATAACTGAAGAGAAGGCAAACTGTGGGAATGGAACAGCTCTGGGAAGACAAGAAATTCTTACAGCAGTTTGCCACTAAAGCTGATGTATGGCTGACAGCACTGAACCCTTTTATAAATGGCATCCTGACTGTGTGTAAACAACAGATTTGATTCCAGGTGTTTGAGGAATCATACTTCTTTGGCTGAAGATTATTTTGCCATTAACTGCCTAAGCCCTTTCCTGATAAGCTGCTTTTTTTTTTTTTTTTCCCCAACCAAGTTTTCCAACTGCTTTCAGTACCGGATAGAAACAAAGCTATTTCCTACTTTGTTCCCTGATGCCTGAGTGATGTCAAGGAGGCAGAATGTACCAGATCTCTCACTGTTTGTGCTCTTGTGTTATGTGCTACTGGTCCTCACGAGGAACAATGTCAGCGAGGCTCCAAATCCAGAAGAGGGAGGCGCAACAGGAGCACCTTTGGGAGATGAGGAAGAGATTTTATTGTCAAATCTTCAACAGCCCTCTACTAATATCAGCCTTCAGAGGCTGAAGTACCACATTTGACACAATATTATAACAAGAAGAGCAAATTTATTATTTTGAACAAGGACAGAAAAAGATACCTCCACTATTTCATATGACTGCAAAAAAAAAAACAAAAAAACAAAAAAACAAGAGGAAGTCTCTACTCACAAAAGGTCTTCACAAGTGAAGGGTGAAGAATTTTTCTCGTTAGCACAGCAGATCATTGATTCTCACAAGCTCCCTGTCATCACTATGTAAGATCCCCTTCCATCCCTTAATCTCATGCCTCCTGCTCCAGCCCTGGGGTCCTCTACCTTCTACTGGCTCAGTTGCTCATGTGACCTCCCACTAAGTTGATTCAGCTCCCAAAAATGAGGCAGGAAAAAAAAAAATAATAAAATCAACCCAACTTTTTATATATGCGCTAATTTAGAGGTGAGAAAGTTAATCAGCTCGTGCAGAGGTCAGATGCATCAGAGCTGCTGTAAGAGAAGCAGTGAAACCGCCTGTTCTTTGTCAGCAAGTCAATCTGCTTTGCCATCTGAAACTTCATTTTCAGAAGCAACGAAGTCACTCAGGCTGAAACTTTACAAATAGAATCAGGCAGATGTTGTAATGAACATTTTCATACAACTAATACTTGCAAATACTTAAGTAACTAAAACAAACAAGACGTTGCTGTTGCCTGCTGACTTCCATTATAACCACGTAGCTGTCAGTTAAAGCCACGTCAACAGCGTCCTGGGGATGCAGGTAGCAAAGACTGTTCCGAAACACCTGAGGACACAGTGCTGCAGCAACAATGTGCCAGGGCTGACAGAAATTGCAGTTAGAGAACAAGAAAACGCAGGAAAAGAAGAAACACACACACAGGAGACAGACGATGAGAGACTGAACAGTGGCTCTAAAAGGGAAATAGATGTACAGCTGCGGTGGAGGGAAACCCACCAAAACACAGAGAGATACGAATGGAGAGGCCCAGCCTAGGAACACAAGAGGCTTCCTGTGGTGTCACCAGGGAAGCGCAGGCAAGTTGTGCCTGGCCATGAGTGCTCTGCAGTGGCTTTGATGGCTCTGGTTGATCTTGTACTGCTTCAGACCCAAAGTGGAAAGAAGCCTCATTATCAGTCAAGTGACCGGATGCAAAAGAAACCTACATTGCTTAAACTTCTGCTTGAGTATCCTGTGCTGGATTGTATTATTTGAGCTTGACTACAGCTTGTCAAACACCTTTTCACATACACATAACTAAAACTTGAAGTAAAAGCTTTGAGCCTACAGAACAAGATTGTCTGCACCCCTGTAATTTTTTGTCTAAGTAAATAATTGAGTTATTTCTTGCTGCAAGTTTGGGGATTTTGTCTTTCTGGATTTTGAAAAATGTGATTTCAACTGCTACTGCTGTTTTCTCCACTGCAATCAACACTGAGAAGTCTCTGAAGGCAGATCTTTTCATTTCCAGTATGTCAGTAGCCAGGAGATTTAGGAAAACAAGCATAAAATCACAAGAGAAATGTATTTATGTGTGAAACTGATATAACAATATCAAACTATTTGACACAGGCGCACCAGAAGCAGCAGAAATTTAATGACAGGAAAAGAAGAAATTCTGTATTATCGCAGTCTCTTTATTTTGCCCTCCACTACAGACAGACCAGCGATTATCCTAACACAGATTAGATGCTCAGGAATCAGAAACTGTTTTTCACATTCAGTTCAGACATCACTTTGCCAACTGACATTCAAAACAGCTCCAAGCTACAAAGTCTCTGAGTAGCATCACAATGCCTTTCACGTTCTTATTTACAAACGAGCAGCTTTTAAGGGTGTGATTTCACCTTAGTCTCAGTCCAGTCTAATCAGAGATTGAAGGGACCAGTCCGCACCTCCTCCCCCTCTAAGGACAAACAAGTTCACTGTCAGCTGGGCAAGCTGATCCAGCTCACCAGGAGATTGCACAACCACGGGATATAAGGGAGAGGGCAGGAATGTGTGCTGGCTGGGAACTCTTCTCATTCTTCTTGGAAGAGTTCATGAAGATTAGCCATGGTTTGATACGGTATTTGTCCTGGCTTCAGTACCTCAACTGCAAGGTATGCAACTCATCATCCAGACTGCTGCAAATAAAAATCAATTGCATTTTAAAATCCCTTTTCCTAAGGAGGTCTTCAGTTTTCATTCTTTCAAGTTTCTTAACACTGCCATCAAAATCCCATGGGAAAAGACTTGACGGCAAAATGCACCACTACAATCACTGAACAAAAAACTCATCCCCAGCAATATTTCAATTCTCCCCTACCCCCTTTTTTTTTCCTTTTTAAACGAGAGATGCATGAAATCAAGAATTTGAAGAAGGGGGAATGCACACCAAATCTGTATGGCTGCATTCTTCCTAAAAGTTGAATTTATTAGTTTACTGGTAATGCAGAGATATACTTAGCAAGTTGAATAGTATTTGGTCACCTGCTTTGCTGTATGAGCCGCTCTTTGTTTAACTGGTCTAATACACAATAAAATTCTATTTACATACTGCTTTCAAATCTGCTGGCATAGTGAAAATGACAAACCACAGTCATAATCACAGAAATATTTTTCTTAATATAAAGATGCTTTTTACTGGCATAGTATTTTTTGGATGGGAACTCATGTAAGATTATTCCGTATAAACATAAATTTTTACACAAACGTCTGTGCAAGAATACAAGTACAGAAGTAAAAAGTCCTTAATCCAAAGCATGCTGAACTACTATAATAGCTGAAGTGTGCACTGAAACTAGTAAATTGCCAAGTGAACAACTTGGTAAATTTCAAGATCCATAGAGTGCAGGTATCTTTCACTCATTGAAGTGACCCAAAGAAAACTCCTTTCAGCCACTGTTAATAAAGGGCAAGATATGAAGAAGCCAACTTCTCCAAGGTTCTCTGACCATTCAGTGTAGCGGCGTTCATTAGGAAGCAGTTCACTTGCTTGAAAGTTACCACTTTTAACAGAGAGCTGAAAACAGCTGCAACTATGGCCTATGACTCACAGCTCCGCACCTCCCAGTGCAGCACAAACTGTGTGGTGGTTACAGCCCCGCTTCCTCCACCCAGCTCCTCCTCCCTACCCCCCTGTATGACCACACTTATTAACAAACCGGGATTATCATTACTTTGCAGACAGAACAGCTTTCAAAACCTGGAGAACTAGAAATGGAAATTACTTGATGTTTTTAAATGGTAACTGCTTCACAGCTACTGAAGATCAAAAACAAACAACTTCAATGAAGCACAATGGCTTTCTGTAAAGTTGTCCATTCAAACCCAAACTATGGCACATCTCTGCTTGACAGCAACTAACTGTAAGGAAAGCAGAGACAGCCACTCCTGAGAAAATGATCAGAACAGCTGTTTAATTTTCTACCAGTATTTTCCAACACTCTGTACACACAAAAGATGAGCCCAGAAAAAAACATGTCTTCGCAATATCAAGCTTGTGGTGATCCACACAAGAGAGGGGACACAAATGGTCTAACTTCTGATCTTTGTGTACAATTAAACGTACAGCACACATGACTTCTGGAGCTTCT